CTGCATGATATTTACCACTGAGGTCGAGTAAAAAGTGTTTTTAAAAAGACAGGACTTAATGCTTTTGACTATTTCACTGCAGCACTTCACCTTTTAGTCATGTGGAGGCAGAAGAGACGCCACGCTGTTGCTCTGATGCTTTAATTAGATGCATTTTATGATCAATGGCCACAAAAATCTGATTTTGTTTGAGCGTTATTATCAAGACCATGAACTGCATGTTTGTTTTAGTGCGTGTGAAGCAACATGCTCACTGTGAATGTTTTTGATCAGATTAAGCGTCTTTAGTTTTTCTTTTCCTTCGTTTCTGATGTGGAATTTTGCATAACTTACCTCCATCCTGACAGCCTTGTGCACACCTGTTTTGTTTCTTTATGTTTCCAGAACAAATGGGACTCACAGGCCTCCTTATTTACAGCAGAACCCATGTTGTGCTGTTGGAGTTTTTCCGTTTTTCTTTGGTGTGTTGCAGCTTTTCTTTGTGCCCTTACAGCCTGAACCTGCTGCTCCTCCTCACGGCTCCAGACACCTGTGTGAACTGCAGGCTTTTCTTCCGTTACTCATTTACATCATCATGTAACACATTTACATGACGCCTGCATCGTGTCTGGTTTTGCACATTGACAAACAAAGGATGAGCGTTTTCACCATTATTTCCTCCCTGGGGCTGTTTCTGCCAGGCCTCTGCTTTGCTTTTGTTGGGTCAGCTGACCAATCGGAGCCGGCTGGGATTTCAGGAGGCGGGGCCTTAAGAAGACAGGAGGGTAAGGAAAGGGGCTGCAGCAGCGTAGAGCACGGAAAAAAAGATGTTTGTTAAGCAGCCAAACATGTAAACATTTCAGTAGACGCCAAAAAATGTGATTCTAAAGTGTACTCTGGGCTCTTTAATGCAGAAATGATTCACAAATACAAAAAATCAGTGGTCATTTTGCTCCACATCCTTCCCCCCCCTGGAAAAACAAAACTTCATCTGCTCTAGAAACTTGAGGGCTTTGCTCGTGTCCCCTCTGGACCTCAGGACAAAGACCTGGAGTCAGGGCTCCTCTGTTGTCCAGGGACTGAGGGATGACAGCACCACAGTGACCTCAGCAGCTCCCAGAACAGGATGATCCTGACATGCTCGCTCCACAGTGAGACAGTCAGAAGTTCAACCTGTGCACATGATGCGTTTCAAGCTCGTCGACAGAAAGAGCAGCTGCAGTCTTTTGTCTTGACGTCACGGCTTATGTTGTTTTCTTCTGCTTTGTGTGGCTTTAGTCCACATAACCTGTTTCAGCAGATGTCCCACATCGTCCTGAGTTCATCCACCTGCATCGCACACAAGATATTTCCTCCAAAATTAGAATTCCTATCAGTTCTGCTTCTTTAGATTGATTTTTTTTTTCTTTTTTCAAGGCTGATCCTCTATAGAAGAGCAGCTGTGACTTCATGAGAACAATAGCGTCTCTGTTTCAGATCTTCTCCATACGTTTGCGTGTCCTTGAGGTGTACTTATCCTGGATCTGGAGGAGGACTCAGTCTGTCTGGCTGTGTTTGCACTCATTGGTGTAATTTAGATGAACTCAGGTGTGTCTTTATTTATATATGGTCAGATGAATCCAGCTGAGGATTATAATCCTCCAGTAAACGGAGAGCTAATGACATAAATGTAGTGTTTAGCCACAAGCTTAAATCTGTGTCATTAGCAGCAGCACCAGTGTTTAGCTGCTATTTTAGATATGAAGCCTCGCTGTGAAAAATAAACCACGGCGTTAATTAGGGATATTTATGATGCAAATGTTGATAATAGAGCATTAAGGCTGTGATCATTTAGCACATTTAACAAAGCAACACAGAATGAATCCAAAGCTACCTGAACACTCGCTGCTCCGGCTGATATGAAGAGTTCATTTACAAAAATAGATAACTCCATGTTTGTAGATTTTCAGAAAACTTAATTTTTTTGTTGAGATGATATCAGTCAGACTGAAGCTGAGTGGATGTGACTCAGTAGAAATGACAACAATAGAGATAACTTAAGTTTGATTGATGTTGTCTCAGGTAGACGATGGAAAAGTTCTGAAGCTTTGTGAAGATGGAGGTATCTGTTTTTGCAAATGAACTCTTCATGTTCTCTCCTTTCTATTTTCCATTTTGTGTGCAAGGTTGATTAATCAACAGGAACTACTCACTGCCTGTCAGTTTTGCTTTTAGTAAAACTAGTTTAATGCAAATCTGACGTGGAATTGGCACAACCCTGTTACCTGAGACGAGTACTGCACTGTTGCCCGAAGCTGCGTTTATTTAAATTATATGAAATAAATACACACACAAAAACCTACAGATGAGCTTTTCTGTGGGCAAATGCTTGATTATTACAGTTATGCATGTACAGCATAGAAAACATGCACATAATGCACTCATATAATTATTTTAGAGGAGCCCAACTGTTCATTTTTGTCCCCTTGCAAACCAACCACGTCTGTATTATTGATAAATTTTGCTCTGACGCCTGAAATTACTAACTGCAAATATATCTGTAAAATGAAAATCCAAATCAGATCAACTTTATTTTACTGAGTTGGCCAAAGTGCTGTACATGTTGCAGTACAGGCAACAACATCAGGATGTGCAAAAAAGACAGAAAACCGAGTGAAACTTGTAAAATCAACTAATATAAAATACTAGAAATCAGGACAAACAGGATTACTACTTGCATGATAATTTATCTAAATAAAACAAATCTACAATATTACAATACTGAGAGATCTGGTGTGATCCATGTTAATGATGTTTAATTCACTGACCAGTAAAGTAACTATATTTACTCAAGTACTGCACCTAAGTACACATTTTGGAGTAATTGAGTTTTTCCATTTTCTGCTACTACTCCTACTATTTCTTGCAAATCACACACAAAATTTGTACTTTTTAACTCCACAAAATGTATTTGATAACTTATAGTTATTTTTGCACATTCATATTACAAATTATATTCAGCACGTATATTGTAATTAACAGATTAAGATTTTTTAAGTGACCAGTGAAGACACGTGAAGTTATCTGGTTGTGTATTTACATGTTTCTGAAATGAAGACTATTAATACGTTAGCGACAACACTGCTGTACTTTTATATGCATGACTATGAGTGTTTTTACATTGTGATATTGGTATTTTTTCCTCCAGTACATTACCAGATTTCCTCTCTCACTGCTGGTTTTGAATCATAAACCCTGATCATGACGCTGCTGCAGCGGCTCCGTTATAAGTTGCAGTTTGCTGCCACCTGTCGGCGGGTAGAAACATCCGACAGCCAGCTTTTTATACACGAACTAGCTTTAAGCTTTGCACACAGTTTATCCACCGCTACACAGATAATGAACCGCAAGAATAATGTTCCGTTCGACCCTTCTGCGGCATCTACAGGAGCCGTTCCAGGATACAAACCGTTGCTGCCCGGAAGGTTGGTAAATCCAGCGTAGGCTGTGCAGCGTTAGCATGGAGCTAACGTGCTAGCTGACACAGTTTCAGGTTTATACCGCTTCCTGAGGTGCCGGTTGGATGACAGCTGACATTTTCTCCTTGCTGACTGGATATTAAACATGTCGTTTGACTCGGCCACAAACATGAAGCTCCGTTGTCATTGAAGTGTTTCGTGTCAGCTCAAGCTAGCTGGAAAATGGCTAAGCCAGTAGCAAAAATTGCTAAGCTAGCCGCAAAAATGGTTAAGCTACTAGCAAAAATAGCTAAGCTAGAAGCAAAAATGGCTAAGCTAGTAGCAAAATGGCAAACAACCTTATCTAGCTAGATAAGGTTGTTTGCCTCATTTGCGGACATTGACACTATTTTAATTTATTTTCATGCTCAGCAGCTATTGTTGTTGACTTGTTTTTTTTCTCTTATTGTCTCTCGTGTTGTTTTCTTAGAGTTCCTCAAGGCTTCATGGAGGCTATGAAACGCATATCAGCACCTGACATGGCTTCAAAGTCCCAACCAGCCCAGAAAGGTGCAGATAACATCTGAAACTTCACCAGTGGCTTTTATTCGTTCCCTGATTTAGTTTAGTTTATCAGACACTGAGTCATCACATTGCATTGGATGCCTTCATTGGAGAGTGTGTGCTGAAGTTGCATGAAGGCTGAATAGTTCATAAAAAATTAATATTAATTATTACACGAGCTGCAGTTTTTATTTTTTTTATTTTAACATACCATTTTACATGAAGCATTGCATTGAAGTGCCTCACGCTGTAAGTCTTATTCTTTAGAAGTGATAGGACATGTTTGATTGGTGCAGACTGCAGTAAAAAGCACGTCATTCATACATATACAACCTAAAATGATTAATAGACGACCTGCTGCTTCCTTTACAAAACCTACACAGTCCATTACCATTGATAGCTTTGTTTGAATTTATCACTGGGGTTAAAAAATTACAGCATCCTCTGAAAGACATGACAAAGATCAACACATTAAATCAATTATGTGTGAAAATATGAATTGCAAAAATGTCCAAATTCACCCTAGATGGCTGAGAACAAGTCATTTTACACATTAGCTGTATATGTAAAGCCAACACATAATCCAGAATCACTCAGTGGTATCTAACAGAAGGGGATGAGAAGATGTTGGTGCTTAACGTAGAGAAATAAAGCAAGAAAGCCGACGCTAACCGTAAGAAGAAAATGCAGGAAGTCTTCACCAACAATGATGTTTTAATCAACCAAAGCTGTTTGTTTGTTTAGATATTTTAAATTCTTTTTTCATTCCAGTGCAAAAGTCTCCATTCCCACTAAGACTCATATCTGTCAGAATAACTGTAATGTGTCCTTTTCTGCATATTGTTCACTCCTAATTAGCACCCAGACATATTACAATACTGACAAAAACGAAGCTGAGGATAACTGAGGCGACTCTCACGGCTCTGCTGGCTGATTTTGACGTGTACAGAAATCAATGGACTCGTATTTCTGGTGCTAGTTCGGTAAATAATAAACTCAAGAGGTGAACAACCTGCTTCAGTTTAGTGGTAATAAGTTGTAACTGGATCACACGTCTGAATGCGTTCATTCTGTCAGGACAGTTCTTCATCTCTCTTTTTCCATCCACAGCTCAGTCCTCTGCGGTGAAATGGAAGTCTTCATTCCAGCCGATTGACAAACAAGATGGCGACTCTCAGGAGAAAAGCACGAGCAGCTCAGAGAGGTCAGTTCAGGGAGAAAGAGTCTCCTGTCAATGGATTACACCTGGTCCTGGTCTAAAAACTGTTTTCAATGGAATAAAAATGAACTGATATTCTTCATTTATTTATTGATTTTTTTGTTTGTTTAGTCTAAAATGAAAGCTGCTGGGGCCTAGCTGGTAAAAGCACCTGTCTTGTAAACAGGGTTCAAATCCCAGCAGTGCCTCAGTGTTACCATCCACATCTCCAAAAAA